AGCTATCTTACTCTATAGTGCTATCAGTCAAAACTTCCAAGTCCACTGCATAGTCATTTCACTATTGGACATAACCAAGGATATAACCATTTATAGGGAATTTCCTCTTCGCTTCTGCAATACATTGAGATGCAAAGTCATATGGCAGTCTACCTTAGCCAAATAGTTTCATCTGTTCTCAGATTAATATAGCCGGTAAATCTGTTTGTAGTGATCAAGCTTAATGTTTCTGCAGAGGATTCAGAGGGGTGATTTGGTTCACCTGTCAACTGCAGACCAAAGTGCTTGTCGTGATGGATCTTAATGACATAAGATTCATGTCAATTTACACAGTTACTTCTTAGTGGTCCAACATATATTGTGTGTATGATTTGTACACAAGACTCAAGAAATGGGGTTAAAGATGTTTTCAACATATAACTGTTAGTTAAATGCCAGATATTTAAATAAAATCATTAAGATAAGACACGTATATAAACGTGTAGCCTGGCACAGCTGACTCTCTTCCCTTTTGTTTTTATTTTAAATTATTTTACTTTGTAGTGTATGATAGCACAAAAGAGACTTGCAAGGTTTGCAAAGAATAATATGAGGATATGCATGAGTTTCTTGTTTTACCTAGACATTGTTGGGTTTCATAATGATGTTCTATTTGGAATGTAATGAATTACCTTCTTCAATCATAATTTATGTGCTTTTATTTTTTTGAGGAAGATTAGCCCTGAGCTAACATCTGTGCCTATCTTCCTCTATTGTATATGTGGGACTCCAGCCACAGCATGATTTGGTGAGCGGTGTGTAGGTCCACACCTAGGAAATGAACTGGCAAGCCCCAGGCTGCAGAGCGCGCAAACTTAACTGCTATGCCACCGGCTGGTCCCAATTTACATGCTATTTTAATTGAATAAAAAATCTCAAGAATGTGTTAAGATCAATTTATATGTTATATGTACAGAAATATGTTGTTAAGCTTTGTCTCCTTATATCCAAATGGGAGTCATTAGATATATTTCATGTTTCCGTGAGTACGCGATTAACAACTATAGCAAAACATGTTGGAGAAAATGATCTTTGAGGGTTTTCCATCAGTGGTTTAATTAACATACAGCAGACAGAAAGCAAACAATCTGTTCAGCCAGACCCTTCAAAGACCCCTCCTGTTGCTTTTGTTTTCATTACAGCTGGGAAGAGAAAATTATATCACATATATCTCTTCATCTTTCCTCCGAATGATTCACTTTGGTGGTGATTTAAAGAATAATTTAAAATATTTTTATGCGTTTGAAAGCTCGTGAAGTGCATAGGAATGATTTACAATGTAGATAAACAGGCTGTGGTTTTGCTGATTTTCCTCAGTCTTTATTTCTATAAAATATCCATTTTTGACTTTTTTTATCTTCTCCAAAAATCATTCTGAAATGGGATCAGAATCTAAGCCAATTTCATACTTCAGTCTTGATGAACCATGTATTTCTGAGTTATGAGCACAGAGGAATGTTTCCTCTATGCCCGATTGGGTAGTCTTATTCATGACATAACCAGAGGAAAAGAATTAGGTTGAAAAAGCAATGGAAAGGAAATTCACAGAGGCCGGGGCCTCAAGCTCACAAATTTTCTCGTTAGAAAACCCTCAGGTCCTTCCTGAGATCCTGTTTACTCTCTGTAAATGCAGTTAGAGCCAGCAAATGCTGGAGTGATTGGTTTACAAAGTTTAAGGTAGCAAATTCTAGGAGGAGCAAGCACATCCATGATGGAGGCCATCCAATCAACGGCCGTAATAGCTGTGCTTGCGACAGTAAAGCCAGAGAGAAGAAAAAATTGTAAGCCACTGCTAAAAAACAATTTAAAAGAAAACAAAATCCACCCAAACCCCACAGCTGTCTGGGGACTTACCCTCCTAAGTGCTAGAGTATTTTGGCTTGTTTTATATAGGCAGTCTACCTGTCTGTTAACTTTACCTCCCCCAATAATCCTGCTAAGGGATGAATTTGAATGTTCACTACAAAAACAAAAGTTTGACATATTAACCAAACTACCCAAACTTCAACTAGAGTGGTGTTAAAAGGTAAACTGAGGCATATGAAAAATTTTAAGAGTTTGAGCAAAAATCTGTTAGAATCAGGTAGTGCCAAACCGGAAGTGGTTAGGCATGTTCCACCAGACAGGAGCCAGGGAGAGACTTTTGTGGAGGAAAAGTAGAAGCTAAGCAAGGAAACTCTTTCATTGGCTATAACTTCAGTGTTTGCCTTATTTGGAAAAGCCTTGTTGGCTATTTGTGGTTGGTTGTCCTTAGGTTTATGGTTTCTTAACCTTGAGGCACTTACTGGCTTAGGTTTTGGTTTGCTTACTTGCAGGCTGCTGAGACATTAGAATCACCTCAGTGTAATGGCCTCCTTGTTTAATTAACTTGACAGTGGGGAGTACTAACTTTATTGTCCTTAAGTTTTGAGGTTCCTTTTCATTTGTTCTCTAGGGTAAGAAGGCAGAGAGAAAGTGAGAAAGAGGCCTCCAGGAAGTTGAGAAATAGACTTCCTATGCAGACAGTTCCTGAATGTTAGTTATTTCCTGTCCTCCCTGCCCTGTGCCAGGACCACAGGGCTTAGTGTGACCTTACTGGCCTAACTGAGATGGTAGAAAGTACCATATTTTGTCTTGTGTTATAAATATCTAAAAAGAAAATGGTAAAATCAATGTCAGGCAATTAATATCAAACAATAGCACCCATTTTAAAGAAACCAAGAGTTGCTTTGAAATCCTGTTTAGAAGATTTTAATAAAGATGAATTATTTGAAGTATTACGCCTACTTTTTCTGATTTACATTATAGAGGACTGATAAACCTCTGGTTGGAGCCATTCTCTTTGTGTGACTTTTTTTAAAACTGTTTTTGTATCTAGGCCTGCAGATGGACATTCTAACAAGGGTCCTGAATAGATTTTCAATTGTTACTACATGATTATTTGTATCCAGATAGCCTGTCCCCTAGTGCAAGGGAAATGCACCTCTCTAACGTAGACCTAAGTTTTGTGCTAGGAGGTGTTATCTGGTTGTTATAAAAGTTTATTGCTCACTTTTGTTCTAAGCTGCCTCATATATTTTTGATAATGAGGCAGGATATATAAATAAAGCAAATAAAATTGTTTTATGTAGCTTTGCCTAGAATCGTAGGTCTTAGAGGCTGACACATCCTCAAGAAAAGCTGTCTGCTTCTGCAGGTAAGATATTCCCATTTGAAATATTGGGTAACTAAAGCACAGAGACTTTTGTAAATTATGTAGATCCCACATCCAGCAAACCTATCAGAAAGACTTCCAGCCCAGATCTCCTGAATTCTTGTACAGTATTTCTTCTATTACTTAATTCTGCTTGGTCTTATTATTCTCAACAATTAATTTATTCATCCATTGATTCACTCAGTCAACAAACATTTATTGAGCACTGTTCAATGGCCAGTAGGGGCACAGTGTTAAAAAAAGAAATGTGTTCTATAGTGATGATGACAATACTGATTAGACACACTTATTGAACATGAAATATTTGGAGGGTGGGAGGGGACCGTGATCAACCCCTTACATATGTGAGTTTTTTCAGCCTTACAACAATTCTATGAATTGAGCACAGTACATTTTTCTGGCTCTTGGGTTCCTTTCTGTGGACTTCTTGGCCATATCTGTCTACATGGTTCTTTAAGCCCCAATATTCTCTGAGCCCAAGGAAAGGTTTAGATTCCCAACACTATGGTGTGTTTCTCTCTGAGCTGTATCCACTAAGGCGTTAGGAGTGGGAGATTTTTTAAGTTCGTGGTGGACCTGAAGAATATCCTCTCTGTCTAGAAGAATTATCAGCACCCTTCTGAGCTGAAGGGGAGATATTTTAGGTCATTTGCATGTGACTAGGAATGATAGCCTTAACTAAGTTGTTAGAGTTCTAAGCAGCTTATTCAATGATATTATAAGCTGCATTAAATACATTTTGTCTTCTTGGAATGTTCTTGTATTGAGGGGAACAGCACAGCTATAATGAAATCACTGTTCTCTCAGCCCTTTATGAACTCATATCCTGCTGGTTATAAAGCCTGTCAATTCATATCTTTTGGTAATAGTTGCATAGAAGAGTGCTGTTCTTCTTGGTCAGAAACTGAATTTCCCATACTTGTGGTACTCCTTCCCCTGCTGACCTACTGAAATGAAAGTCTAGGAGCAATGATGAAATCTAATTTTCCCTCCTGGGGTAGCAGGATGAGCTGGGTCAGCAAGGCCTGTCCCTACAGATGGCTTTAAAATACCTTTGTGATTTGATCTCCTTGCCTTCCCATCCATTTCTCTAAGTGCCTATCACTGTCATCCGTTACCACCCTGACAAGATTCCAAGGTGAGAACAGCACAAATGAAAGAGAGCGTGTGTGATGTCTCCTGAGGGGGTTGTTTATTAAATGAGTTAGGCGATGGAGCAAGTCTGACTTGCGAGCTACAGGGTAATTTAGCACATTCACACAAAGATCATCCCATGTATTATTTAACCCGTTCAAATACATTGTCGTCTCTTTGCTGCCCAGCATAACTCAGGTGAAGGGAACGTCAGCTCACAAGTTAATAATGTCTGACTTTGATTTTCAAATGTGCTGGAAATCACTTGGTTTCTTTCCTTTGTTTGCATTGTAGCTTGTTTTCTCAGAACGACGAGAGAATGTTTATGAAGTATGTGTGTGGTGGGCGGGGAGGGAAGGGAATAAAAATGCATTGCTTCAGGGCTGCACATCTGTTTTAGGGACTCTGCTGGATCTGCACATTAACCATTGTCATGACTTATGGCGTGTCCTAAAATTGCATTCTACTCAGAGTTGTTCATACCGACTCAAAATATTACAATTAAACAGATTTCACTGTTGTGAGTGAGTTTCCTATTTTCATGACTCGCAGAATGTGTTTTCTGCTCTAGTAGATGGCATGGGTATGATTCGTAACAAGTGGTAACTCATTATTTTCTTTCTTTTTCAAACAGATTGGCAGTATCAAGTTGCACAGGCCTTCCCGCAAACAGAAGAGGAGGTGGAAGTGGACTCACACGCATTCAGCCACCGGTGGAAACGGAACTCGGATTCTCTCAAGGCAGTAGACTCGAACCGAGCAAGCCTGGGCCAAGACTCCCCAGAGCCCAGAGGCTTCACGGACCTGCTCCTGGACGATGGGCAGGACAACAACACCCAGATCGAGGTAGGCAAATAATCTGGGTCATTGAAACAGATTAATGAATACATGTCTTGGAAGGCACCCAACTTCCATGTATATATAAACAATGACCTCAGCTCAAGCTAGAGCTTTTGGACTTCTTTGTAAGGATCAATTGAATTCATTATATTCATTAATAATTAATTTGTTAATATTCAGTAATTCAATAAAATTATAATTATATTAAATAAATAGTAGCTAAGCCATTAAATCACAAATTCATTTACTCAGGAAACAGATAAACAGGTTCTTGGTGTGGTGGTAACAGTGAGGGGACACAAAGATGAGTAAAATACAGCACCTGCTTGCAAGGACTTCATTGTGTAAGGAGCTCTAAATGCCATAACCAAATCATCCCTGTGCCATGTGATATGTACAAAAAAATATAGAGCCTGTAGCGTGGCATGGAACAAGGAGTGATCCATCCCACTTGAGTTTGGGGGAATGGGCTGTGTCAGAAAGGCTGAGGAGCGGGCATTCAGGCAGTGGCTTGGCAGACTGAGAGGAATTCATCCTATTGATAACCTGCCAGTGGTAGGAGAGATTTCTGACAGAGCGAATTGCTTCTGCAACGGCTGCATCTTACAGGGGCATGATGTGCTGAGGAGTCTCGTGGGTTGACCAACTGTCTCAGTTTTCCCAGGACTGAGGGGTTTCCTGGGGTGTGGGATTTTCAGTACTAAAAGTGGGGCAGTTCTGGGCAAATTGGGATGGTTAGTTACTCTTCGATTGTTAGTAATTCTTTGCTGTGGTTGGAGCCATGAAGTAGAAGGAGGAGGATGGTTGGAGATTGACTTGGTGAGTATGGAGTTTGCTGAAGGCAGATTTTAGGGTCTCCCAGAGGCCTCAAGGGTGGTATTGCACTGTTTAAGTTTCCATTGTCCTTAGCATTACAAATCATAAAATATGATCTTGTTAGTACACTAGGTATAATAGAAACAATCAGGTGAATCTTATGGAAATAAGTGAAAACCACCCAAATGAGAACAAACCCTGGCAATTAATTCAGTTTGCTATAGCAAGGGAGTCAGCCACCATCACTTGCCTTTGGCAGGGACTCAAATGCAGGCAGAGGAGTTGGGAAGGTTTCCAGTTACAGAAAGAGAAGGCCCAGGTAAGCTCTGATGGGAGGTTGTTGGGATGGAGAAGCTGGACGAGGGCTAATTAGAAGCAGAGCATCTCACGTGATTGGTTTAGGGGGCATGTTTGGCTTTCTGTGATTGGTCCTCCTGAGATGGATGCAGGAACAGAAAAAGAAGGGAAACTGTCAGTTATGAACCAAGTCCTGCCATTCTGGGCTGATTGCTGAGAATGTTGTGTTTTGGCTTCCTGGACTGGCTGCTGTAGAGGTTGGGGTCAGAGTTCTATTATCATCCGTGGTCTGGCCGTTGTCCATTTGTATATTCTATCTCAATCTGAAGTTGTAGTTTCTGCATTTTTCCAGGTGACAGGTTTATAATTTTTAAGAAGCAGCATTCTTTTCACTGCCCTGAAATACTCATTATTTAGGAAAAGAGGTCAACTGCATGAAACAGATACTATATAGTTGGCAAAGAGTAGCAAGGCATCATTTTGTTCCCTCACAGTGAGAGGGAATCTTTAGAAGATCTGAGGCACAGGCCATTGGGATTCTGTGCATGTGAGAAGCTCAGCAATTTTCAAAACCCCTCCACATCTCCTTTGCTAGTATGTGACTCTGGTGGTCCCCGGCTGCCCCAGCCAGGCCCCTTAAGAGGCAACAGAGGATGTGCCAGGAGCAGAAGTCATATAACATCTGTAAGAGGCTATTCTGACTCCTGCAGAGTGCCTGCTATTTTGGCAACAATGTTGTTATAGCAACTCGAAGTAGGCAACATAATTTTTCCCTGAGCGGCTCTTTAGCTAGGGTGCAGCATAAAGAAAGGAGAGCAGAACAGAAGCAGAGGTGTTTACTCTCTGCCCAGAACTAGTACCCTGCTGAGATTAAAAGGGGAGAACATAGATTGCTAGAACTCTGTGATCTCGATGGAGGATGCTAAATTTTCCTGATCAGTTGTAAAATAGAAAATTCCATCGCTCAGGGATGTCTGAACCCCCCTCAAAATACAATCCCAGTCATTAATGATAGCCGTGATTTTGTTATTCAGCCAACTTTTTTCTTCTCTACCTTAACAGAGGGAGAGCACATAATGTCAGTGGTTTCGAATCAGTAAAAAGAAGGAGGAAGTATGGTGCAGGGAGCTATTTGCTGGGTGTTCACTCCCTGCTAACACCTACCAGGTGCTGTAGTGATGGATACTATCTTGCTTAGTCCTTCCATCAGCCTAGTGAGATTTGCATCACTGGGTAATCTCAATGACTTTCACATGAAGGCAACTTCAGATTTAGCGTTAGTGTTTTTTCCTAAGGTATCCCATTAATAAGTAAAGGAGTTGGAATTCAAACCCAGGCTTACCCAGTTCCCAAGGTTTATCATTTCTGCTTGACTTTGCTTCCTCTAATATAAGGACAGGTAAATGGCATTTTGATTACATAATAATTTGGGGTAATGGCAGCACCTGCATATCCATGAGAGAGTAAATTTGGGTTTCACTTTGGCTAGAAGGGGTCTTGTCTTGAAGCTAGATTTGTATAACAAGAGGACTGCTTTTTTTTGGGAAAGTTTATTTCTTTTGATGGGGTTCTGGGGATCGATGGAGATTATTGGGGCTCTACAGTCCCATAAGTCACTTCTTGGCACCACCACTAGTTTTGGAAACGAAAGCCCACATCTGAAACTTCTCTGCAAAGTTTATTTATCCTGGCCCTTGAAATAGTAATTTTGAACACTGTTGCATCTCTTCTGGGGAAAATAATTTCGCCTGATTGAGTTAAACAGGAATAAGAAAGAAAGGAACCAAATGGTTATAAAGTGACTACTCTGTGCTGGGCGTTGTGACAAGATCTTTCTTATCTTTTAGGAATAAGCATCTTGATTTATAATGGTTAATACAAGCAATGAACACGTGTGCTTTTTCCTTTAGATGCTTTAGATGCTTCCAAAGTTGATGTCAGGAATCAGAATTATTTTGCCCGAGAGCCCTGGCTATAGTAGGAGCTGTGAAAATAATTTGTTTCCCAGGGAGGCTAAAACTACCCAGAATGTCACTCCTGTGCATGTTCTCTTCACTTCTGCCATTGTCTAGACTTTATACTCTATTTTCATCACTAAACAAAGACAAAAACAAAACACAATAGCATGTTTACCGTTTTGGCACCAATTCGTTATGAAACAAAGACTGTTATTCTCCTAAACTGGTGACAGTATTTTTTCTGGCTCTGCACAAGAACAGATAATGGAGGGATTGTAAAGCTTAGCATCCAAGTTAAAGAACTCTTCCAATTGAAGTTTTTTGTTGTTGTTCTCCATATTTTCTTTTTAAATATTCTTCCCATAAAGATGTAAAGATGTTTTGAAACCAGGTGTATTTCCTGGTGAATAAGCGGGCACTCAACACTGAGCAAACGCCACTGTTGATCTGAATGTTGATTTATACGAGGCCTTTCTTCTTGTATTTCCTCTGTTCCTGTGGACTTGTAACCACTTAGCAAAGCAAGAAGAAAAGCACTTTCTTCTGATTTGTAGGTATTTAAAGTGAGGTGTCATAAAACCGTCCCTAGCATGCTACGTTTTGTAATTATTTGGGGGAATTTAAGGGCTTCCAGGACTTTCAGGTGAGGTTGAATTCCATTCATGATTCAGCCTTGTGTGAGCAGCCTTCAGTGAATTTTGTGACCCCAGAGACACATGCATGCATCAGCAGCGTGTGTGTCTCCACCTGGCTGCTGGCTGCCCTGTCATTTCCTGGCACAGAGCTCTTGCAGCATCAGTGGTGCCTTATAGAGTGGAGAGGGCTGGTGAGAATTCCTGATTTGCATGATGCTCAGTTTTACCAGCCTAGTCCCGTAGCTGATATTGGTAACTTACAGTTCTTCACTTTACAGAAATCAATTTCAAATTCCTTTGTAAAACCCTGAACCAAATCTGTGGTTTTTACCACTTATTCACGTGCAGTGTCTGGAGCATCGTATTCCCTCTCTTGGGACAATGAAAGTATTTCTGAAAAGGATTATTAAGTGTGATGTTTTTGCCTTGATTCAAAAGCACCTGTGGCTGGGGGCAGTGCAGTGGTGTTTAACAAAAGCATGGATGGAATTTGCTGGATGACTTGAAGAAGGGAAGATTTAAAAACAGGACTTATGGGTCATGTAAGTGTAGCTTCACGATCCAAACTGACCTAGAAATTGTCAATTCGGCCAGTGCCTCTAAGGTCATGCAGATGTGGCTAGACCACAGACCACACTTTGAGTTTCAAGGGGTTAGGCCACAAAGCAGAGTTAGCTATTGGTTTTGAGGATATAAATTTTGTGAAAAATCTTAGATTAAGTTTAGTTGCCTACCTTCAACATGTCTTGTGGATTTCTCATTCTGGTGCCAAATTAAAAATTGAAGGCATGTCGAGCGATTATTATACCATCTATGTAACAGTTGTATCATCTATGTTTACGTTAAAGCTATTATCTTAGGAAGGTACAATTGAGAATCGTCAGCAAATATGTGTGATAAATGCAGCTAAAAACTAGTGATCAACCGTTTTTCTCCTAAATGCGTATGTAAAAACTCTCTTTGATCTTCTGCTGTGGCATACATTGGCAATTGTGTCTGCATCTTGATTTTAAGAATTGTACAATATGTTTCTTTAAAAAGTTAGCAATTGCTAATTGCCGCACACAAGGTTATTGTGCGTGTTCTAATATTTTATTGCAGTCCAAAACAAGGTAATCTATTTGAAAGGAAAGAATTCACTGGCAAATGCTTAGTCTAAAAAAGAGTGTGGTTGTTTGATGATTATTTTACAAAGAAAAAGGCAAATTCCATAATGTTCCCCGTGGGCAGAATGTCCGTGGTATGTTTGCAGTGTAGAGAATACATCTGAATATTCTGAGATAATGAAAAATCTATTGCT